AATATAAAGCAACAAAATAACAAATGAATTATCAGAATGAAATATGAACTAAACACAGTTGTCGAACTGACTTCTAATGAAACTTATTTGTGTCATGAACTTGTCGAATCTCATATTCCATTGTCTAGGAGATTGTTTCATCCCATATAAAGATCTATTCAACTTACACATATAATCTTTTTTTCTCTTTTTGACATACCCTTCAGGTTGCTTCATCAAAAGTTTTTCATCTAGATCACCATACAAGAACACAGTCTTCACATCCATTTGTTCCAGTTCAAGGTAGAATTGTGACACCATGGCAAGTAACATTCGAACGGACTTGTGCTTCACAAAAAGAGAAAACACATCATTAAAGTCGACATCTTCTTTCTGAGTGAAACCCCTTGCAACTAACCTTGCCTTGTATCTTCTCGACGCCACTCCTTTGATTCCTTCCTTAACTTTTAAATCCATTTACAACTGACTAATATGGATCCAACAAGTTTCTTGAGCAGTTCCCAAGTGTTGTTATCATGAAGAGATTTCATCTCATCATCTATGGCCTTCAGCCATTCAGTCTTATTTTGACTCCTCATAACTTCCTTATGGTCTCTAGGTTCTTCGTCTAGAACCTCACTTACAGAAATTAAGGCATAAGCTATAAGATTTGCATACCCAAGTCACTGAGGTGGATTTATAACTCTTTTCATCCTATCTCTTGACAATAGGTAGTCATCTATATTTTTTTCAACTTCCTCAACATCTTCTGCTTCTTCTTCGACTTTATCTAGAATACACAATTCAACATCAACACGCTCCACCTCAACATGAATCTCTCCTTGTTCCACCTCTTCATCAGATATTTCTGCACTTCGATCAACATCATCAATTTTCTTGAAAGCCATTTTAGCTTCATTGAAAACTACATCTCGACTGGTGATATACCTCCTGTGACATGGCTCTATGCACCATAGCTTATAAGCTTTGACTCCTTCAAGGTATCCCATGAACATGCATTTCAGAGCTATAGATTCGACCTTGTCTTGCCTAATGTGAGAATAGGATACACATCCAAATACTCTTAGTTTATCGAGATCTAGTGGATATCGTGACCAAACTTCTTCAGGTGTCTTCATATCTAACGCAATCGAAGGACATTTGTTTATCAGATATGTAGCTGTCGAAACAGCCTCAGCCCAAAACACCTTCTTCAACCCAACAATAGTCAACATGCATCTAACTATTTCTAAAATAGTTTGATTAAACCTTTCAGCTAAACCATTTTTTATGGAGTACCTGCAGTAGCTCTGTGTCTTGCAACATCAGAGACAACAAAAAAGTTGTCGAAAGCCTCATTGCAAAATTCAAGGCCATTGTCGGTTCTTAACCTCTTGACCTTTTCTGCCAGTTTGATTTTCGACCAAGTCTTCCAACTTTTGAAATTCTCAAAAGTTTCATCCTTAGTCTTTTGGATGAATACCCATAACTTTCTAGAATAATCATCTTCTATTGATATAAAATGTCTTGCTCTTGAATGTGATGAACACCTTGCAGGCCCCCAAAGATCAGCATGGATGTAATCAAGGGATCCATGTGTTCTTTGTTTGCCTTTGTTGAACTTCACTCTCCAAGATTTTCCAATTACACATGGTTCACAAAACTTTAGCTTTTCGACTTTGTCTCTTCCAAGCAAATTTTGTTTCCCCAATTCGACCAGACCCCTTTCACTGACATGGCTAAATCTCATATGCCAAATTTCTGTCTTCGACAAAGGTTTCGTAGATGCAACATATGTCGAACCACTTACAACTTCATCCTCAAGGGTATACAAGCCTTGTTTTTTCACACCTCTCAAGACTTCCTTCGACCCCTTTTCATGACTCTTATGATACTTTTCTCTCCTTGGCAAGCATATCCTTTCTTGTCGAATTCACCAAGAGAAATTAGATTTATCTTTAAATCAGGTACATACCTGACTTTAGTCAACAACTTTATTGAATCATCATGAAGCTTAAATCTCACAGATCCAACACCTGCAATCTTGCAGGGTTTGTTGTTTCCTAGCAATAAAGATCCACCATCTTGATCACATAATTCCTCGAACAAGTCTTTGTTTGGAGTCATATGCTAAGTGCAACCTGAATCCATAATCCACTCTTTTCTTGAGTCACTGCTTGAAAACACAAGAACATCAGATGAGTCGAAATCATCTTGAACAATGGTTTCATTGCCATTATCCTTACCTCCAAGATCTTTCAGGCGTTCATGACACATTTTTCTTGTGTGACCCTCCTTCTTACAATGATAGCATCGAATACTATATGCTTCCCCACTATAAGACTTTTGCTGACTTTTACCTTTCTTCTTGTCAAACTTATCATTCTTTCGTAAGAATTTTCCCTTAATATCCAAATCTTCACCAACCGTCGAAGGTTTATTCTCCTTTCATTCATTCAATTCCTTAGAATCAAGGATGATTGAACTTCTTCAAAGGTCAGAGACTCCCTTCCATACAAGAGAGTTTCTTTGAAGTTAGCATGTGTTCTGGGAAAAGTACACAACAACAACAACATTTGATCTTCATCATTGATCTTCACATCAATATTTTCAAGATCAAGAATTAGCTTGTTGAACATATCTAATTGCTCAGCCAACACTCTGTTTTCAATCATCTTAAATGAATACAAAGCTTGCTTCAGGTAGAGTCGATTTACCAACGATTTGGTCATGTACAAACTTTCAAGTTTCACCCATAATTCTGATGTTGTCGTCTCCTTTGATACATATTGAAGAACCTTATCACCAAGGCTCAAAAAAATTACGATATGTGCTTTTTTTGTCATGGTCGTCTTTTCTTTTTCCGTTAATGCAATATCCATGGCCGCCGCTCCCTTCAATGCTTCCAAACAACCCCGCTGAACCAGTAAGGCTTTCATCTTGAAGCGCCACAACCTGAAATCATTCACTCTAGTGAAATTTTCAATCTCATACTTTGTTGAAGGTATCTTTTCCACGCTCATCGCACCGATTTGTTGTGAAAAACAGTGCTGAAATCACAAAATATAATAGATTTCTTTCGGCAAGAAACCCACAAGGGTAAGAAAAAGTAGGCGAGCAATAAGAAATTAGTTATAACTACTATTCTTTCCTTTATCTTCAAATTAAATTACAAGTATACAAGAATAACAAATAACTCTCTCACCCTAAATTAGGATTTGCAGTGAGCAATAATGAAAGACTATTATTCTATTTATAATAAACCTAACATACTAAACTAATGATTTTTTTCACAAATACCCATTACAAGCTAACTTAAGGTACAAGCTAACTTAAACAATTGGACATAACAACAGACGCAATTCGAAATACTAACAACCCTAGCATTTCGACACCCATATACTAGAACACACTTCGACTACAATGAGTAGGTCTCAACACCAGCATGTGAACATACTTCGACGACATACATAAATCATGTCGAACTAGAAGCTATTCTTCGACCCAATAGAGTTTGATCCAATATCTCACAGTAATAGATTATCGATGAAGGATAATTTGGTTAGACGCCGTATCATTAGAGCCGAGGAGAAAAATTGTACAACAGAGTGTGGTAAGTATGAGGACATGGACTATATTTTTTGCGGTGTGATTTTTATGGTAAAATTTGGTCGGCGATATTGGGTTGGTTAGGTTTTTCGTTGGTTTTTCATAGTAATCTTTGGGGACACCATGATCACTTTGTGGCGTTGGGTGGTTGGATAAAATCGATTAGTCACATTTTTATATCATTTCGGTTATAGTTGTGTGGAGCATTTGAAAAGCTCGAAACCATCCGATTTTTCAGAACATTAGACGACCCTTGAGTTCTTCATGTGAAACTGTATTCTTTTTGGTGGCTGAAATCTCATTTCCACTCATTCATTTTTTATTATCAAAGTTGGAGGATAAATCCTATGAAGTGTATTGTAGCTGGAGTCTTATAGTTTGTGTGTGTTCTTTTAACTTGGTGTAGCGTTTTGGTCCTGAGTGTGATATAACTTTTTTTTTTTTTGTAGTTTTTTTAGTACTCCTTGTGTCATAAGGACTTTTTAATTCTTAATATATCATTTTATTTTCTAAAAAAAACAGTGTATAATATCTATTCTCATATTAAATTATGAAATTAATTATTATATATATTCATTACAATTTTTCATATTATATGCATCACAACCATTCATAAATATCTTTACAAATAATTTTGAGATTAATTATTATACATTGTTAGTGTAAAAAAAATTTATACGGTGAGTGCATTACAACCATCCACTAATACTATTTAATAAATAATAAAAATAAAAATAAAACATAATTTACAATCTAACAATCATGATTTACTGACAGTGTAAAACTGGTGTATTTCAATTAAATTCTTTTTTATTTAAATTCTTAAAAAATTAAAAAATAATGCATTGACAGTTTAAAATAATTTTACATTGTTATCTAATAAAAAATAAGCATTCTACCATGTCATTAAAAAAATTTAAAATAAAAAGTAACTTAATAGAATTCATAATTATAATTGGTTGACAATATATAACTATATTACATTTCCTCATTCTTAAATTATTTATATAATTATTTAATATAATTTAAAAAATTTTTTTTGCATGTAACAGTAAGAGAAGAGAGCCTAATAATATGATATGGAGATTGAATGCGTGCGAGATATGGTTGTTGAATTCATTATTATCGCTCAACGCTCAACGCTTACTCCACTAGCATCCGTATCGTGAAAGTAATGTTAAAATTTCCAAATTAATACTACTAATTAGTACTTTAAAATATCATTATCTAAAAAAAAACCGTTTCTAAAAATATTTAAGAATTATCAATTCCAATTAATTATTTCCATTTCCATAACATACACCGTAACAGAAAAATCACAAACGATTATAAAAACACAAGTTACTGAAAAAAGAAGCCATAGTTATCTCATTTCACCAATTCGGTAGATTTTGTTTTATTCAGAAGAAGCCATGAGCGATTCATCCAACCTCAAATCTGAAGCCATTATCGAGTTGATGAAGCAACATTTCAGCACCGATGCTGGCAAAGAACTCGTCAAGAAAATTGGACTTGTTTATCAGTTTCAAATTGCCCCTAAGGTACTGTTTATTTTGTTTTTTTTTGAAATTTGGAATTCTTTTCAATTTGACCTAATTCCTAAACTGTCTTTCTTTTATTGTTGTGAATTTGTAGAAAATTGGAATCGATGAAGTTGTGTATACTGTTGATCTCAAGAAAGGAGAGGTTACCAAAGGTTTGTTTCATTTTTTTGTTTGTTTGTTTTTCATTTTTAATTTATTTGTATGAAATTGTGGCTTATTATGTTTATGTTTGCTTTCGATTTTACAACATTGAATCCAATTTTATGATAAATTATCTGCAGTGCATTGTTAGGTTAAGATTTTAGGGTTTCTGCAATTGCAATTTTGATTGCAGTTATTGATAATTGGAACACTAATGTCAAGGTTTTAGGGTATTTGTAATTGCAATTTTGATTGCAGTTATTGATAATTGCAAGCACAATGTCAAGATTTTTGGTTATAGATGGGATTTGGTCCTGCACTCAGTCAGCCACATTTACTTCTTCCGGTCTTGATTATACTGTCGTGCAGTGGCCAACTGCATGTAATCACTGGGTTTTAACTGTACTCAACCCAGATCCTAAAGATAGACCTGTCACTTGAAGTTTTTGTCTGATATCATCTCAATTTCTGCTGTCTGGTCACTGCCATATCTTCTATGATTAAATGCTTTCAATCTGTTTTTAGATTATAGATTGTTGCCTAGGTAGCTGGAGACTAATCAGCAATAGTTACAACTTTGCTTTGAATGAAATGCTTGCTTGCTTCATTTTATTTTTTACAATTGTACTTAATTTGGGTAGTTTTAAATATTGATTTTTCCTATAATGCCATCAAGTATGATTATTCGGGTCTGTATCCCTAATATATAGGGGCATATGAAGGTGGAAAGCCAGACGCAACTTTTTCATTTAAAGATGAAGACTTCGTTAAGCTTGCATTAGGAAAGCTGAATCCTCAGATTGCTTTCATGAGGTTCACCATTTTAACAAGAACTTTGTTTCCTTTTTACTTATTGGCTTTATCTTTTCTCTGTTTATCCATTCACTTGCTTGAATCTATTGTGCTGGTGTATGTTTACAGGGGTGCCATGAAGATTAAGGGAAGTTTGAGTGCTGCTCAGAAATTTACTCCTGATATCTTCCCAAAACCTTCCAAGTTGTGAGCAATGAGCAACTATATGTCTATTAATATAGTAATCAATAAAAGTATACAACCTCAAACCTGAGGGGTATATTTATAGTTTAATACACCCCATCCCAAAAAGAAAATCATTATGATAGTGTTCTGGAAATCTCCCAAATGACTTTAATTCAGTTTCAAGTTATGGATAGCATTATGGAAATCTTTTATAATACTGTAATTGGATGTTTCAAGTTTCAAAATAGTTCATCATGCATTATGTTTGAGCTATCTTTTTCTTTGTTTTTTCCATTAATACATGGATAAATCCATCATGGAGTCTATTATTAAAGTTTATACTTGTGATTCTGTGAATTATCATTTTTCAAACTACAATGTAGTTTCACAGCTGAAACATATTGTTGGGATTATAAAAACTAAACCGATCTGTCATGGGAATCTAACTTAGCAATTTGAACTGGTTCTGGTTTAACATAAGCAATGTCTAGAACTGTAAATTGTTTATCATGTTATGTTATCAAACGGGTTTCAACATTATTTACTTTAGTTTCAAATACATATTAGATATTAGATATCACCAACTTAGCATTAGTATATGCTTACGAGATACTAAAGACCAATTTAATTCATATTATATAATTTTGGAGATCACTTTGAAATGTTTATATGAATAAACCATTATTTTGGTTCTTTAGTCCTTGAAAGTGTCATGCAGTGTCATTATTTTGTCTCTTCGGTCAAAATTACTATTATTTGAAAAAGTTTGTCATGACCCTTGACATAGTTGAAATTGTCGAACTCATACCTTGCCTACATCAGGTATGACTTTGATACATCACCATATTAGATAGAACAGTAAATCTATTTGACATTTTGGGAAGAAAGTTATATTTAGGAAGTTTTGATTCTAGATATTATTATCACATTGCATAACACTTTTCACATGGAAAACTGAGTTTACTCTTAAAATATTGATAAAAGCTTTGATGGCTTATTAGTTTATGAATGATGACAATTTATAATTGATAAATTAATTGAAGTGTTTGATAAAATTAGTGGTTCAATTAATTGATAAATTAAAATGACATAAAAAATATTTAACATAATTGTTTCATTTTAAATTAAAATAAATTATAAAGAGTAGTAGTGGGTTTTATATAAAATAATAAGAATAAAAATAAAAAAATAAAAAAAAGTTATATGTTATAAGATAAAACACTATTTAAAATAATGTCTGATAAATAAATTTTAAACTAGTAAAATAAATTATAAATTCGTAATAAAATTTTTTTTATTATCGTATAAAATTATAAGTCTTAGACTATAAATTTAAACTATTAAAATAAATTATAAATTCGTGATAAAATTTTTTTTTATTATCGTATAAAGTTATAAGCCGTAGGCTATAAATTTAAGAATTGTCTTGTGAGTTAAAATGAATGAATTTTTTTAAATAATAGTACTGTTTAAAGAATGAAATCGAGTATTTTACTTCAATTCTTCACTAATCAAAGCAACTTGTAGAGCACGACACCCTTCGAAAAGTACCATATCAATTAAAAAACATCCAAACTTTAAATGATAGTACTATACTTTTTGTTTTTAGTTTTGTATACATTTGTAGTGAAAAGACTACTTAACTTCCTGACAAACTTTAAGCTCTCTAAAATGTGAAACTTTGACTCTCCTAGCTTAGTTTCCCACTACTTCCATACTTTAAACTATCCTTAGGATATCCATGAATATTTTCCAATTTCCCAATGTCTTATCCGGAAAAATATATCAGCACTTGGATCACATATAAAGAAGCCTTATGGTTTAAAATTGCGGCTACGGAAATTGCAGCTACGGATGTGGTTGTGTGTATTGCAATTGCCGTGATGTGCATTGCGGCCGTTGCATTGTGAGTTTTGATTGAAAGGTGTTTTAAATACATTGTTTGAAAAACACTTAATTGTATGATTTTTAATTACATGACAAATAAATTGAATTTTTGAGTTATAAAATTATGAGTTTTGATACAAATTGTTGAAGAAGTACGAGTGAAATTGTCAGATGAAATTCCTAATGCGGCCAGATGCATGATTTTAAGATCACAATGCAATTGTGATGCGATTCGGTAGCAGAATCTACCACATCGATAATATTGCAGGAACAAGTGCAGTTGGGGACTTAAACTTAAAACAGTGGATAGACGTATTCTCATGAATATTCCAGCAATTGTGAAATGACAAATGAGTATTAGTCGAATTTTGCGCAAAGAATATTTTTGAAATAAGAGTATTCAATTGAATTAAATTATATGATAATTTAGCCGAAGAAAGTAACTCCTATCCGTTTCTTGATTTTATGAGAATACTACAAATTATTATTATGATACTGTATTTATTTACTTCACGCAATAACTAGATTCTCTACATGTTAGAAAACCGCATACACACATAGATCAAACACATTTGAACCAATGGATTCTCTATATAAGTGACATAACCACAAACACAATTAGACCAAACACAACACATTTGAAGCTATGTATTATCTTCCTTTTATCACTCTTTTCTACTTCTTCCTTTCATTTCTTCCTCTTTTAGCTTCTTCTACATTACTCTTTCAGGTATTTTTCCAACACAAATATACATTTCATAAACTATTTCATTGCATGTATATAATGAATGTTTCTCTTGACAGGGATTCAACTGGGAATCAAGTAACAAAGGTGGATGGTACAACTCTTTGAAGAACACAATTCCTGACTTAGCTGATGCCGGAATTACACATGTTTGGCTCCCTCCTCCATCTCAAAGTGTTGGACCTCAAGGTTTCTTTCTACATGCTTCTTTCCTAATCAAATATTCATAGATATCATTCGATGATCGTTATCTATTATATAATATTATTACTTGTTTGAATCTAGGGTATCTTCCTGGAAGACTATATGATCTTGATGCATCAAAATATGGATCAAAAGATGAACTAAAGTCACTAATTGCGGCTCTCAATGATAAAGGAATCAAATCTGTGGCTGACATAGTCATCAACCATAGAACAGCAGAGAGAAAAGATGATAGAGGAATTTATTGCATCTTTGAAGGTGGAACTCAAGATTCAAAGCTTGATTGGGGTCCATCTTTCATATGCAAAGGTGACACAACTTATTCTGATGGCAAAGGAAACGATGATACCGGAGAGGACTATCAAGCTGCACCTGACATTGATCATCTCAATCCACAAGTACAAAGAGAGTTATCCGAATGGATGAACTGGCTCAAAACCGAAATTGGATTTTCCGGTTGGAGATTCGATTTCGTCAAAGGTTATGCTCCTAGTATAACTAAAATTTACGTGGAGAACACTAAACCAGATTTTGCAGTTGGAGAGTATTTTGATGCAGATAGAGGCAAACTTGCTAGCTGGGTTGAAGGTGCTGGTGGCGGTGTTGTTAGCGCATTCGATTTCTCCACCAAAGGAATTCTTCAAGATGCTGTACAAGGTGAACTGGGGAGGTTGAAAGACTCAAACGGAAAACCACCTGGATTGATCGGTATAAAACCCGAAAACAGTGTAACATTTATTGATAATCATGATACAGGTTCAACTCAGAGACTTTGGCCATTTCCTTCTGATAAAGTAATGCAGGGTTATGCATATATTCTAACTCATCCAGGAACACCATCAATATTCTATGATCACTTCATTGATTGGGGTTTGAAGGTTGAGATAACAAAATTAGCTGCAATAAGACAGAAGAATGGGATAAACATGAAAAGCAGTGTGAACATTCTAGCAGCTGATGGTGACCTTTATATAGCAAAGATAGACAACAAGGTTATTGTAAAGATAGGACCAAAGATGGACCTTGGAAATCTTGTTCCGTCAAATTTCCATGTTGTTGCTTCTGGCAAAGACTATGCTGTTTGGAATGAATAATTTGAGGACAAATAATAGTGTTTGATAAGATAATCACGTATGATTAAGAAAAAAAAGTCTTGTATCATGTATGTTTTTATAAAAATATGTTTTTTATTTTGTATATTTGTATATATATCATTTTACTTCTCAACTATTAGTATTAAGTACTCGTATAAGATAATCATGTATGATTAAGAAAAAAAAGTCTTGTATCATGTATGTTTTTATAGAAATATGTTTTTTTATTTTGTATATTTTGTAACACAATACATATGTCGTATGTATAGAATATGAAGTACACTACGAAATAGGGGTAATTATTCTCTCTATAAATACTAATCCTAAATAAGGTAAGAATAGAATAATATAGTTAATTACTATTTAATTACAATTTAAATCTAGCCATAATATGCTGTATGACAGAATCTGTTTTAATTTTGTGCTACTCCCTCCGGTCTCATTTATAAGAAAAAATTAATTTTTTATATACATTGAATAAGTAATGTATTTGGACAATATATTGTCCAAATACATTACTTATTTAATGTATCTAAAAAGTTAATTTTTTCTTATAAATGAAACCGGAGGGAGTAATATTCAACACTCCCCCTCAAGCTGACATGAATATATTGTTCATAGCAAACTTGCACACCATGTTATCAAACAGTCTCCTTGGAAGACTCTTTGTGAGAACATCTGTTACCTGATTTTTGATGGGTATGTAGGACATACAAATCTCGCCGCTGTCAATTTTCTCTTTGATGAAATGCTTGTCCACTTCAACATGCTTTGTCCAAAAACCATGAATTTAAATGGAGTTAAGCCAAAAAGCTTCAATTCTTCCATGAATTTTTTGATCCATAATACTTCACAAAAATCATGGGCCACAGATCGGAATTCAGCTTCTGCACTGCTCCTGACTACAACATTTTGTTTTTTGCTCCTCCATGTAACTAGATTTCCACCTACAAAAGTACAATATCCTGAGATAGACATTCTATCATTTATATTACCTGCCCAATCAACATCTGTATAAGCTTCGATCTGTATATGTCCTTTATTTCTGAATATCATCCCCTTTCCTGGAGTACCTTTCAAATATCTTAATATTATGAAAATAACTTCAAAGTGGGCTGCCCCTGGTGCATTAATAAATTGGCTTATTACACTAACTACAAAGGCTATATCTGGCCTTATATGTGACAAATAAATTAGTCTTCCAATCAATCATTGATAACGTTCTCTACCCACTATTTCATCTTCAACAACTGACTTTAGTTTCACATTGGAATCCGTTGGTGTTTCTACTGCTTTACACCCCGTCATCCTTGTTTCTGCGAGTAAATCGAGTATATACTTGCGCTGGTTGAGAAAAATCTTTCTTTAGATCTTGCGAATTCCATCCCAAGAAAGTATTTTAACTTTACAAGATCCTTGATATCGAGCTTAGCCTCAAGTCTTCTCTTCAGATCACTAATTGCTTTGACGTCATCTCATGTAATAATAATGTCATCAACATACACTATTAAGATAGCAATCTTACCTTCACATGAGTGTTTAAAGAACATAGTGTGATCTGCTTGACTTTGGATGAAGCCATGTCTCTTAACAACATTTCCAAATCTTTCAAACCACGCCCTTGGCGATTGTTTCAATCCATATAAGGATTTTCTCAATCTGCATACTTTGTTTCTTCCAAGATTATTTTCAAATCTATGAGGTAAACTCATATATACTTCTTCATGTAATTCACCATTTAAGAAGGCATTTTTAACATCATATTGATATAGTGTCCAGTTGAAATTTACTACAAGGGAAAAAAAAGAATTATGATAAAATTGATCTTAGCAACCGAAGCAAAAGTCTCTTGGTAATCAATACCATGAGTTTGAGTAAATTCTTTTGCTACAAATCTCGCTTTGTATCTTTTCACACTTCCAGCAGCCTTGCATTTCACTGTAAAGACCCACTTACACCCTACTACATTTTTATCATGTGGTAGATCAGTGATACTCCAAGTGTTATTTTTGTTTAGAGCATCCATCTCTTCTTTCACCGATAATTTCCAATTCGGATCACTTAATGCTTCCTGAATAGTTCTGGGAACAAACAAATTAGAAATCCTAAACACATATGCCTTGTGGGTGTGTGATAGTTTATCATATGACAAGTAATTAGACATAGGATGTTTAGTGCACATACGAGAATCTTTCCTTTAAGCAATTGGGACATCGAGGTCAGGAATATTTTTTCTCACAAAAATTAGAAGATTAATATCAGGAAAAGACAAATCAGAGAAATCATTAGATGAGTAAGAAGGATTACCAGATGAAGAACTAGAAGACGGATTATATGTAGGACCTTCACTTGGTAAATCGGATTGGATTTCTACTGGAGAGATAATAGGGTTTGCACCACCTGCACCACCTTTGTGGAATTTTTTTCAAACATACACTTTAATTTCAGGATTATCATCCTTAATCAGTGTTACTCCCCCTATTTCAGATTCTATTATCTTAGCACTTGGGTGATTTGTAGTCACAATATCATCTAGAGCAGATAAAGTTTCCCAAAAATTATCTTCTTTATTATTACATAGACTCTCCTCCTGAAGAGAATTTTTAAAAAAAGATTGATTTTCAACAAAGTGGACGTCCATGCTTTCAAAAAATTTCTTTGTAACAAGGTTAAAATATTTGTATTCCTTTTTTATTGGATGCGTAGCCAAGAAAAACACATTTTTCGGCTTTAGGATCCAACTTAGAACGAAAAACATTGAGGATGTAAACATAACAGAGGCAACCAAAAACTTTAAGGGGAAGATCCGTAATAATACGAGATATAGTAACACTTGTACAGGACCACTACGCCGAAAAAGACTTACGAAAACGCTTTTTTTGGCCTTTAAAAGCGCTTAAAAGCGCTTTCGTAGGTGGCGCTGCTATAGGTTTTAGCAGCGCTTTTTGTTTAATGAAAAGCGCTTTCGTAGGTCTACCTAATACAACACTTTTTCTAAAAAGTTCTCTCTTAAGTAGGCTTTTGGCAGCGCTTTTTTATGAAGAAGCGCTTTCATAGGTCTACCTAAGGCAGCACTTTTTTCTGGAAAAGCGCTCTCATAAGTTTTCTTTTAGCAGCGCTTTTTTCTGGAAAAGCGTTGTCTTAGGTAGGCTTTTAGCAACGCTTTTTTCTGGAAAAGCGCTTTCATAGGTGGTCTTTTAGCAATGCTTTTGCCTGGAAAAGCGCTGTCATATGTTTACCTTAGACAGCGCTTTTTGTGAAAAAGCGCTTTCATAGGTTACCTAAGGCAGCGTTTTTCCATAAAAAGCGCTTTCATAGGGTGTTTTTTTTAGAGGTATAATTTATACAATTCATATACCTGCATTATTTGCAGCATATTATTTATATAAACTAGTTGCCATAACCTGTAATTCATAAACCGCGGTAATGCATTGTATACCATTGTAATCCAAAATATATATACACCATTTTTGTACCTCAAAATATATAAAAACCATTGTTATCAGCATTGTAACTCAAAATCAGTCTTACAAAATCAACCCTAACAACAACTAAACCAGTCCTAATGTATGAAAGAAACACGGTCAATTATGTATTAAGGTCCTGGTCCTGCGAGGTTTGAACATAATAACACGGTCAATATGGTATTCCATGTACACATGTAACGTATTCATAACACTTTTCACATAATAATATATTCATACCTTATATGATTCTCTGCTCAATAAAATATTGACACAATTCCTCTTTGATTTCTTCCAACCGAAGTTTCGTGTAATATGCACATTTGTATTCATCGAAGTACTACATAACAAAACATAATATGCATGATTTAGTCAAAAGTAAAAAATTATATGAAATATCCGAGAAATAATAAAACAAATCCTAAGTTATAAATCCATATAGTGACTGGAATCTCTATTTGATTCAGTTGAAGGATTTCTTTGATAAACCGCATAACGAAATATCTGCAATCTATACCGTTTTGCTGTTGAGGACACTACATAGAAAAACAAATAAGAATATATAGTTGTATTGTTTTATCAAATAGCATAAATATTATAAGCAAAATAGTGGAAATTAATATACCTGCACTTTGATCCAATTAATGTTGTTTGATTTAGACCGTCGTATCCGAGCTTCTCTTTGACACCGGAATACTTGTATCGCTCTAACAAAATAAAAATATATATTTAGAACAATATCACGGAAATAATTAAATATATAAATACACACAAATATTTAGAATAATCTCACTTATGTATCAATCATTAACTTCATATCTGGATAATTTATCCAATCACCGTCAACCGAATTCAGATAATAGACCACTACTTTTATAGGATCGATAGCAACCAACAACCAATGACGTCTATAAATTAAAACAACAGTTTAGAAGAAAATTTTCTACGCAAAAATTACAAATATTAAAATGAACTTAGAATGAAAATCTAACCCTGTAGGAATAGTATTATACGCCCAAAGATATAAGCTTTCTGTACTGCCAGTTGCCATGAATCTTTCGACTAAGTGCTCTCTTACTGAATCCGGTTCCCTACCAATTGTAGCTCCACTGACACGGGAGGAAGATACAAAATGGAATCTGTTTGATAATTGATTCCCGCGCATCAATTTGTCATATAACAACCTTAAATAAAAACATAATTAATATTAGACTATATTCATTGAAATGTATAAAAAAAATTTCAACTAATTACATAATATAAAGATGGGGTTACCGGATGTATGCGTGCATAATACTGACGCCTAATTCTTTATGACGGAAAATCTCTTCCACGTCCTCATGTCCAATTATTTCGGTGCAAGGAAAACTAAAGATACCTTGATCCATATCTATTTGACGAATACCACCATCCATCAAATATGTTGTTCCCACTATTGTTTCAAGACATTGCCGGTATCGAGGGAAAAATCTAGTAGGAACCCTTTTCTTGGGTGGTACGCCAACGATTTTCTGGCTCACTTGTTGTAACCCTTGA